CTTGGCTGAAAACCAGCACTGCAGCTTGATGTTGGGGGTCATTTTAATTGCAGATCAAGATTTAAATCAGGCTTTGTTAATATGAACATTGCAACCACTCGACCACCAGATCCAGCTGGGCTTTCAGCATGTTTCTATCCTCGTACCGTAAGCTTTCTTGGTGGACTGTGTTCAGACTCCAATGCTTCCACCACACCCCCAGAGGGATATTGTGACAAGGACAACACTATAAGATTTGGGGCACCAATACAGTATTTTAGGCATGGATGAATTGTGAAAGGGGCAAGAGGAAAGAGAGAAGGCTTATCTTAAGTGTCAGATCTTCATTGTCCAGCCTCCCATGCTAAGGCCCTCTGCTGTGAAGAGAATGGCACAGACATTCAGATGAGTCTTGGCTCCTCTCCCCCATGGGAATTTGTAAATGCATCGAGCACACGCAGGACAGAATAGATTGATCAATCAGTGATAAATCAAACCACTACCCATCAGAACAACCATGCAAGTGGAAAGCAAAGGCCAACATGAGCACAAAGCTCCATGTTAGGGGAAAAGCAGAGTGCAATGTAATCAGAAAGCAAGAGGCAAAATGGGGAAAGAAACCAAGCTTGCCATGCCATTTCTAGACAGAACAGAACTACAACACGTAGCATCCTCTAGGGCTTGGGCCACTTCACACCACAGTGCAACACTGAGCACCATCTTCATGGTGTAAATGGGAATTTCAGCAACACTAGTGACTCTAGTGTATTTTAACTTCAGCTCTTCAGAAATGCAAAGGCTATTAAATTAAGCTTCACTGGGCTCATTTAGAAAAAAAGTATATGAACTCCTAGCCATTTATTTGCCTGCTTGAATGAAAAATATCGCAGAAAGCAGATCAATATGCTATAGACAGATTGAATTCAATGATTTTGAGTGTGAAAGCAAAGCAGGAAGGTGGTAGAGGGGTGAGAGACATGAGCCTAGAACAAAGTCAGCCTATCTGAGTTTTCCTCCTAGGACATTTTTAAGTACCTCCAGAAGGCAAGTTCAGAGAGCTGCTGTGTAACCAAGTGTAAAGAAAGGGAACTTGCCAGCAAGAATTTCCAGGTGATCACAGCACTTAGACAGAACCACACTTTTCAAATATAGCTTCAACATGCATCCTGTTATTTGTATTGTTAACCATTAATGCAACATCATAGCTTTGCACGGCATTTTCCAGGGATTGCAGGAGAGGGTCACTGCCCCAAGGAGCTCTCTTTCTAAAGAAGATAAGCATAGAACACAGCAGTGATAGATACAGGGAGAAGGTAAGAAGCTTAAAATATAAGCCAGTTATTAGTATTACAAAAGCAGTAAGAGGCCCTGCTGTGCGGGCACTGCACAAGCATAGCATGGGACAGCCCCTGCCCTGAAGAATTTACCATCAAGAAAGGAAGGATTATCATCACTCTTTACAGAGGCGGAACTGAGGGAAGTAAATCTGATCTGTTCAAATACTTTTAAGCAGAGCCTGAGCTAGGAGGAGGAGAAGACAGTCCAGGAGGGGAGGTCAGTGATGAAGAGCATGGCGGGAGTGAGGGTCTTTCCAGGCATAGGGAGCATCATCACCCAAAAGTATGAAGAAGGGGCAGCAGCTGAGGTGGGCAGAGGTAAGGGCAGGAAGATGGGGGGATTAGAGAGAAGGTTGAAGCCTCAGGATAAATTTAGTATAGCAAGCACAGTCCCAACCTACAGGAGTTCACTTTCCTTCCCCCTCTCCACTCTCAGGGTTGTGTATTTTTATCAGATACTGTCCCATCCCAGAGGTGGGCACACTCAACTCTCTCAGCAGAGTTCCAGTGAGATCCACTGTCTGTAGCATTGCTCTTGGTAATCTATTCAACAACTGGAGGAGGCAGCCAGTGTTGGCAAGCTTGTGTGTCTATCTACAGATAAATACACAGCTGGGTAAGTGACCAGATGGGGAACCACACACAATATCCATGGGGCATTTTTTGTAAGCCAAAAGGGAACCCATAATGAAGGATGCTCTGAAGTGTAGGACTCCAGAGAACCCACACTGCATTGGCAATGGAAACAGAAGCAGCAGTTCACACTTTTCAACACAAAACAGAGCTGTGTCGTGCAGTTTAATGCAATGGCAGTCATGTGGCACCTAGACATACAGGAAATTAGCAGCCAGAAATAGTATTTCAAGTCAAAACAAACTACACTTGATGAGACTTTATTACCAGGATCTCCTCTAGATTAATTCAAGAAAGGAAAAGGAATTGAATCTAGAGTTTCCATTCCAGGGAATATTCTAGTCATGTAAATTTTGGGAGAATTTTGGGACTCTAAATTAACTTCTGCATACCACAGAAAAGCAGAACTGTTCTCCAACTATACACGTGCATGGCAAAGAGGAAAAAAAACTCCAGTCAAGCAACAACATATTGGGGAACTTGCAATACCTACCTGAATTATGAACTTTTATCACATAGGGCCTAAGTCATATATCATGTTCTCACTTAGTGCATTATTCACCAATAATACAAGAACAGACTGGTTACAGCACTAATTACAAGCTCTATACTAGTACCTCATGTTAGTTCACCTGAATGACAATTGTGCGTAAAGTACACAATCTACATGGTTTAGTTTACCAGATTATCCACAACGTCAGCCAGTCTGCCTTGGAATTTAGAGATAGTAGTGACTCTACTGTTCACATCACCAGGTGTCCATCTTCTACACTCTCCTTAAGTGATGGGATTACAACCCAGCAAACACAGTAAGAATTAATCAGACAAGAATGGAAGCTTTCGATTCTTTGCTCCTGGAAACCATAAAACTGCTGTCCAAATCTTTAAGCTACACACGTCTCTCAGCTAAATTAGACTTTATAGGTCCAGGGACGCAGGAAGTGAAAATTCACTGATTTGGCCAGACTACACTGCAACCTTTTCCCATCTCTGGCTGTAGCCTCTATGTTATTCTGTTCTTCAGGCCAGACCGGAGGAAGAGCTCTGTGTACGCTCAAAACCTCGTCTCCCTCACCAATAGAAGTCGGTCCAATAAAAGGTATTACCTCACCCACCGTGTCTCTCTGTGTTATTCTGTCAGTTAAGAAGGGAATGATAACTGCACAGCCTAACGAAACTCACCTACCGTCACATGGTCTATTGTCCCCACAATAGCACAAGTACAATACTAAAAATTCACATCTTTACAACCACAAATTGACAGCTCTACCATGATTTCACATTATATATGACAGGTTTCAGAGGAACAGCCGTGTTAGTCTGTATTCGCAAAAAGAAAAGGAGTCCTTGTGGCACCTTAGAGACTAACCAATTTATTTGAGCATGAGCTTTCGTGAGCTACAGCTCACTTCATCAGATGTTTACCGTGGAAACTGCAGTTTCCACGGTAAACATCTGATGAAGTGAGCTGTAGCTCACGAAAGCTCATGCTCAAATAAATTGGTTAGTCTCTAAGGTGCCACAAGTACTCCTTTTCTTTTCACATTATATATGTTCTCTCTAGCTACTGATCCCATACATTATGAACCAGGAGGAGTTCACACAGCCAGAATAATAGTCTACAGAGGTTTTGGATCTTGGAGGCAGACTGGGAAACAAGTGTACCCTTCCAGCTGTTGACTTTTTGAGCAACCTGCTTGCTTTTCCTCATTCTGTCTTTTCTCTTCACATAGCATACAAAACTAGCATGAAGAACCAGGGGCTCCTTGTAAAGCTGCACGTGCCAAAGAGAATTATCTGTGCAAGGAATCTCCAGGCATAAGATAGAAAGGGACTAGGCACCGAGTCTAGCGGGAAGGGATGAGCAACCTGAGTCCAGGACAGACTCCCCACAGAAAGGAAGGCTTCTTGCAGACTCCACTCCCCTGATCCCAGCCTCCAGCTACCCTCCTTTCTGCTCAGGGGAAGGGAAAGGAGGATGAGGACTGGCTGCTGTTTATAGGGACATTCAGGAAATGCAATTTACGACGACGACAACAACTATTTATAAACATGCTGGAAACACTTTATTTATATGCAGATGGCAGAAACTCTTTATTCATCGTATCCCCCAAGTCCCCATCGCCTCATCCCCAAACTGTTCCCCTTTCTTCAATGCACCTGTTTTGGCAAAGGACCCTCCTAGGGAGGCTGGGAGGAACCACATGGGGCACAGGGAGGTTGAAGGTGTTCATGACAGAGCCCAGCTCATGGTCCAATGACAATCAATCCTCCCACCCACACAGATACTCGCTGTCACATCCCTACCTCCCCCCATTGCCCCTTCCCCACCCATCCCACACGCTGCCCCTACTCACCCTCTCCTCCACATTGCCACTGCCCCATCCACCCTGCCCTCCCCCCCGCCCCCATCCACCCTACACATTGCCCCTGCCCAGCCCCCCACTGCCCCATCCTGCCCTCCCCCCCACTGCCCCATCCACCCTACACATTGCCCCCACTGCCCCATCCTCCCTGACCTCCCCCCGCCCAGCCCCCCACTTCCCCATCCTGCCCCCCCACTGCCCCATCCACCCTGCCCTCCCCCCGCCCAGCCCCCCACTTCCCCATCCTGCCCCCCACTGCCCCATCCACCCTACACATTGCCCCTGCCCAGCCCCCCCATTGCCCCCCCACATTGCCCCTGCCCAGCGCCCCACTGCCCCATCCTGCTCTCCCCCCACTGCCCCATCCACCCTACACATTGCCCCCACTGCCCCATCCACCCTGCCCTCCCCCCGCCCAGCCCCCCACTTCCCCATCCTGCCCCCTGCCCCATCCACCCTGCCCTCCCCCCCACTGCCCCATCCACCCTACACATTGCCCCCCACTGCCCCATCTACCCTGTCCTCCCCCCGCCCAGCCCCCCACTTCCCCATCCTGCCCCCCACTGCCCCATCCACCCTACCCTCCCCCCGCCCAGCCCCCCATTGCCCCCCCACATTGCCCCTGCCCAGCCCCCCACTGCCCCCTGCCCGCGTCTCGGACCCCCCGCCCCCGGGCCGGACTCACCCTCCTCGGCGGCGGCCCCGGGCGGCAGCAGCAGCGGCAGCAGCAGCAGCGGCAGCGGCACGAGGAAGCCGCCTCCGCCCGTCTCCATGGTGCTGCCGACTCCGCGCGGCCCCGGCTGCCGCTGCCGCCTCCCTCATCCCGGCCGCGCCCCCCGCCCGGCCCGCTCGCCTCGCGCGCGCCCCGCCCCCCCGGCCGCCGGGCCAATCGGGGCCGGGGGCGGGGGCGGGGGCGGCCACGCGCGGCGAGGGGGAGCGCGGAGCGCGAGGGGGCGCGGCGAGGGCCGGCCCCGGCCAATCACAGCGACCGGCGCGCTGGAAGGGCGGGGCGAGGATGGGGAGCAGCCACTCACGGCGCGGGGCGCGGCAGGGGCGAGGCGATTGGGGGCGCGGCCGCACGCAAGGGGCGGGGGTGGGGAGAGGCGCCCAGTAGCGACGCCGGAGGGATGGGCGTGGCCAGGGGAGCCCAGCAGCCATTCAGAGAAGGGGGCATGCGGGGGCGGGTCTCCCTGCCAGCCAATAACAAGTGAGGGGCGGAGCCGAAGGTGGGGCCTACGCGGTCTGGTTTAAGGTTGAACGCAGGGCTCGTCCCCCTCCCCCCTGGTTAACCCGCCCCGCCCCGCCCCGGGCCGGGCCGGGGGCCCGCCTCGCTGGGGCAGGCGCTAGGGGGAGTGCTGGGGGGCCTCTGGGATTGGGGGGGCCTCTGGCATTGGGGGGGGCGGGGAGTGCTGGGGGGCCTCTGGCATTGGGGGGGCTGGGAGTGCTGGGGGGCCTCTGGCATTGGGGGGGGGCGGGGAGTGCTGGGGGGCCTCTGGATTGGGGGGGCTGGGAGTGCTGGGGGGGCCTCTGGCATTGGGGGGGCGGGGAGTGCTGGGGGGGGCTCTGGGATTGGGGGGCCTCTGGGATTGGGGGGGCTGGGAGTGCTGGGGGGCCTCTGGCATTGGGGGGTGGGGAGTGCTGGGGGGCTCTGGGATTGGGGGGCCTCTGGCATTGGGGGAGTGGGGAGTGCTGGGGGGCCTCTGGCATTGGGGGGGGTGGGGAGTGCTGGGGGGGGCTCTGGGATTGGGGGGCTGGGAGTGCTGGGGGGCCTCTGGCATTGGGGGGGTGGGGAGTGCTGGGGGGGGGCTCTGGGATTGGGGGGCCTCTGGCATTGGGGGGCTGGGAGTGCTGGGGGGGCTCTGGGATTGGGGGGCCTCTGGCATTGGGGGGCTGGGAGTGCTGGGGGGCTCGGATTGGGGGGTGGGGAGTGCTGGGGGGGCCTCTGGCATTGGGGGGGCGGGGAGTGCTGGGGGGGCTCTGGGATTGGGGGGGGGGGGCTGGGAGTGCTGGGGGGCCTCTGGCATTGGGGGGCTGGGAGTGCTGGGGGGCTCAGATTGGGGGGTGGGGAGTGCTGGGGGGGCCTCTGGCATTGGGGCAGTGGGGACTGCTGGGGGGGGCTCTGGCATTGGGGGCCTCTGGCATTGGGGTGGCGGGGAGTGCTGGGATTGGGGAGTTCTGAGAGTGCTGGGGGAGCGGGGCTGGCTTTGGGGCATTCTGGGGGGGGGATCTGGAAATACTGGGACTTTAGAGTTGGAGGAACTGGGGGGGGTTCTGGGATTAGCAGAGTTGAGAGGGCTGGTGAACTCAAATTGATGTGGGGGAGCTCCGGGATTGGGGGAGCTGCGGGGGGTTGGACTGAGTTGGGGGGCTCTGGGATTGGGGGGAGCTGGGAGTGCTGGGGGGGACCTGGGGGGCTCAGGGATCTGTAGTGGAATTGGAGGCCTGGGGCTCAGAGTTGCTGGGGGATGTAGCCACTCCATAGGGCTGGGGATTTAGGGGGCACTAGGCTGCCAGGTTCTGGGCAGGGGGAGCAGCTCAGAGTCAAATCCAAAGCCCTCCCTGTAGGTTGTGGGGTGGGGGTCATTGTGCCGTTCAGAGTGATGCGACTGCAACATCTCTGAAAGATGTGAGCGTCTCCTATTCATGCTGATGAGTTTGTGATTCTGAAGCCTAATGGCTACATCCCAGGGTCCTAGAAACATAGATGGACAATTGTGCATACAGAATGGGCTTGCAGCTGCCTGTGTAATTCATATGCACAGTTACTTCAGTCCCACACATAAGTGGACACTTAAACAAAGGGCAGAAATATCAGTGGTCCTAAAAATCAAATTACTACGTCAGGGTCATAGTTTGCCCTCAATATCATTGGGAAATCTACTGTGGAGGGTACTATATGTCCTTATAGTCACAGTGCATCAACCCTAATTAAAAATGTAATTTGGCCCTCTCCACTGAATGAGCTCAGCTCCCTGGTGCAGTTAATGAAAAATTAGTAAATGGGTAATCTACAAAAAGTGCAGAGTCAGGATTTTATTTTGCAAAATCAAACCCAGAAGCAGGGGAAGAGAGTTGAATCTTTTCTCCATTCGTCCAAAACCCCAGAGTAGCTCCAGTTTTTGTCTATCTCTGCTTTTGAACAATAAACAGAAGCAGGTCTAGAAAATCAAATTAACCATGAGAAGCTAGGCAATATTTGTTGTAAAATAGTAAGTCTCTTAGGTTTCTCACGAAAGCTTATGCTCAAATAAATTGGTTAGTCTCTAAGGTGCCACAAGTCCTCCTTTTCTTTTTGCGAATACAGACTAAAACAGCTGCTATGAAACCTGTAAAGAGAACACTACTCTTGTGTCACCCTAGAGTCAGACTCACTAAGATCCCCAGATATCAGGCAGAATTTTGATTGGCTTCTCAGCCTGTTACCAGTCAGACTCAGTTCTGCGTTTCATAATAAATTGGATTCATTTGATATGGTTATTGCAGTCATATTAAAATATGCCTTGAGCCCGCGTTACAGAACATGGTATTCCTAATATTATTAATAAATATGCCTAATGAAAGCTATGTTGTTAGTGATAGTGTGTAAACGCAGAGCTGCTCTTTATGTAACCCTGCTAATAAGTGGTGCAAGGATTGAATATTTATGTTAAGTCAATAAGGTTTCATGCAAGATCTGGGGTCTAATGGTGCACAGCTCATTGCAGGATCAGCACGTAAGTGTGCAAAATCTTATCACAAATCCTCATGTTATACTTTCATTGGTTGTAATCAGTCCTCTTTCAACCCAAACAGTGTTTTTTGAAAATGTCTGTATAGCTAAGTTAATAGGCAAGCTACAGAGACATGAATTTCAAACAGGTGTTTTGGGTTATGGTCAGTTTACAGTTCCACCGAGACTATGCAAGCAGAAAAGCTCTCTGTGCTGTCTGAATAGACTGGACCAGTGTGGGGCACAGAGGAGGAGCCAGGGGGATATAGTACAGTAGTAGAACTAGTTTCCCCCATGCTGCCCCCTAGCAGGGTGAGTTTAAAGGGGGCTGTGGCTAGGATTTCTTGAAGGGGGACTTGGCTTTCAAAAGTGAGAAACAATGGATTCGTTTCACCCATCTCCCACAAAGACAAAACCATTCCAGGCTATTTTTCTTAGTATGTTTCTATAATACTAACGTCAATCTTTTCACTGTCCCCTGATCCCAAAAGAAAATGCACAAATTTTCTGTGAGCATGTTGCAAATTCACATGGTGATTCTACAGGAAGAGTAGAGCTTCTGATGATTTGCGTGAGTGATGGGTCCCTCTCCTGGCTCACTAGCACTGAGCACACAACCTCAGAGGCCCTGTAGAAACAGTGACCACATTGCATTTTTTCCCATTAATTTCTTTGCAGTATAATTTGAGATTTTTTTCCCTTGGAGGACATTCTAGACTAAATTGCAACATATTTAAGATGAATTGAAATAATGATGTAAAAGAAGGAAAAGACTTGTAGATTTGAGTGTAAAGTTTGCCCATGTACTGGGCTTCTCTTCTGAAAGGTCACTTCTAACAGCGAGAGTGACCTTTCTAATGGGTGCTGCTGAAGGAAATTTGAAATGCAACACAAATATTACATGGACATACTGTAGGGCTGTATAGAGCCAGTCCTGGGGCCAGCAAGGGATCGAGCAGACCTGCGTGCACTGAGCACAGTGATTGTGAGGGTAGCCGGGCTGGGTCAGCTGTGGTGAATTAGAGCCTCCCCAGCACATTACAAAAGAGAAGTGCGGCACTAGCTCTGGTTGTTCCTCGGTGTTTACTCCCCCAAGGGAAGCTCTTGCTCAGAGCGTGGCTGCGGAGGGTCTGTTGCCTTGTTTGTTTATGATTTCAGAATGCTCAGTGGAGCTCATGCACACCAGGGTACCAGGCTGTTCGTTCGCTAGTGCAGTGTTTTATATGAAATTGATGTAACCCTCCCACGCCCAGGAGCCCTTTAATCTGAGACTGCATCATATAAAGACTAAGGGGTTTGTCCTTAATTACTCAGCAGCATTTACTTACTTCCTCGTGAATTTGTACAGTCAGATGTAACCCCCCCTGACAGCTAGTTTGGGATGCAAATGTTGAGGCCCTGAGTGGCGCAGTGTGGCTGGGAGATGCTGCTTCCTGAGCAGCCCTTCGCAAAGCGGAGATGTGTAGCTAGATAGTGGGCTGAACTCTGCTGTTCTGACTCGCTGCTGCTTGTAGATAGGAAGCCCATCAACCACCTTCTTCTCTGATTAGATCAGTCCTTTCAAAGCAAGGATTTAGACAACAAAGAGGAAGTGAGGGACCCAAGCCGAGCTTGGCAGGTGCGAGGGGAAGTAGTAGCCACTGTCTCTGGATACAAAAGGCTGAAAGCCAGGCTGATTCACTACATTGTACCTCTGTGTCTGTGATAGAGACTTGGCTCAGCCGATGCCCAGATGTGAGGCAGGTGGTGAGGCAGCAGTGCCTAAACTAGGTTCAGAAAAAAATGAAAATGCCCAGTCAAAACCTGATGGGGAAAGAGGCATGGGGGGGGAGGGGGCGCAGTTTGTGCCAACAACAATTCACTCAGTGTAAATATTTCTAAAATGTTAGGCACTAAAGCCTAGATCCTGCAATGACTCACACATCGAAGCCTGCTGCCAGTCAGACTCAAAGGTACACATCCTAGAGTAAAGTTTCAGAGTAGCAGCTGTGTTAGTCTGTATCCGCAAAAAGAACAGGAGGACTTGTGGCATCTTAGAGACTAACCAATTTATTTGAGCGTAAGCTTTCATGGGCTACAGCCCACTTCATTGGGTGCATGATTTGTTAGTCCCTATCCT